AGTCAGTACTGTCTTTACAGACCAGTCTGCTACCAAGTAACAGACTTTGGAGGTATGAATGACTTGGTTTGCCTGGAGGGATTCGATCCCAGACCATCCGTTTGTGATAGTGCACCACTTGCCACTGTACCACTTCCGCCCAAATATGATAGTGTTTCCTAGAAAATATGTATGCAAGATCCGGTAGTATTTGTGAGAATGTATTCGTGAAGTTACACTAGTCCAAAGCAAAGCACAACTCACTCAGCTCTTTCTCGGTTGTGAATGGGACAAGTTCTGAAACTGTAAGACGTTTCTGAGATCTTGACCGGATTGCATTGATCTGTCCCGAGAATTGTATCCAAACTACGGTATTCTTAGGTATCAGGTATCAGTTTCAAAAAAACAAACTTCTTTCCTGAGTTTTGCGACCACGGCCCTGGTATAAGAGGCCCACGTCGGTGTAATGTTTCCGTAAGAAAGTAAACCCAGCGAAATCTTAATGCGGTACTTTCAAATGATGTCTATCGCCTTAACCCATAACCAGTTGTCGTCGACGGTGAAAACTCGGCCAATCCTCAACGGAACTTCGTCATCGTCGTCGTCCACGGCAAGGGTGGCGGTAGCGGTGTCGTCGACAATCTCTTCGTTGCATAATCATATGTCTATAATCTCATACAGCAACTTACTCGAACGTATGGGAAGTTTACTCACAACGTCCTCCTACTGTAATCGATACATCTATCGACAGCTCCTCCATAACGCTATCTAATCGATAGCAATCCAGTTTCGATTTATTCTTCCTTGACTCTTCTAATTTTCTTACCTTCTCGGAGAGTTGTGATTTGTTGTGTCGAAAATGAGAAGGTACCAGGTCGTTTCAAACCACTTCTCTGCCATCAGCAGCAATCGATGGGTTTGTCTTCTTTTCATTGAAGCCCTGGCTCTTCAGAAAGCCCAAAATTAAGTAGCTAAACTAAACTTCTTACCAAGCAACTGGAGGGACCAGGATCCCGCACGGCAAATGAAGTCATCAACTGTTGCTGATGTCAGAGAATTGGCCCGACAAGATGATACTTTTCATTTTCAACGGAACTAGTCGAAGGTTACTAGAAACTATAAAACAGTTGCTTTTTCTGAATCATTAAATTAACTAAAAGGTATATTTTGAGAAGATGGAGCTGGCGGACACGTCCGATGAAATCGATCAATTGGATGTGGAGACAGCCGAAGAACAGGTAATCCTACATTGCAGTAATTTGATAATCGTTCCAAACCTTTTAGCTGTCTCTTCAGCGCGATAGAATAAAACTAAGCTTATCACCAAATGACATTACATTTGAATCAATTGGTAACTAGTCAGTGTTTGGTACTACTGTGTGATTATGGTGGAGAATAGGCCTAGGTAAACTCGTATCGTAGTATTCATCCAGTGGACTTTCAGGATCAACAGCTTTTTGTTGGGATATTTGGGCTTTAAGGGGTTTTACACTGAGATATATTGTGTTTATGCTAAGCGTAGATTGAACCGATAACTGTTGTGAGACCTCTGATTGTATTGATCGAGCCGTACCATGGTTGTACTTTTCAGACGACGGAATTGGCCAACGACGACGTCGGAGCGGCTGAACCTCGTCTGAGCAACGAGAGCGCCAACTCGACAGCCTCCTCATCGTCATCTTCGAAGCGAAAATCATTCCAGCCCCAGAAAAACACTGAAGATGTTGAACACCCGGATGAGGACGATGACTATGAAGCNGGCCTCAGCGCGCTCCAATCGCAACTGAGTCAACCAAACATGAAATTCCATGAGATGTTTGAAACCCAACGGAAACTCTATAATAACATTATCGAACAACAGAAGAAGTTCTTTCCGCCACCACCACCTCCACAACAGCCACCTTTGGACATTGTGAGTGTGCAAGTTGTCATTGAAGCTCTGGCTGGGGTAGCTCTAATTTAGAGAATTGTTCAGATGCCCGAAAAAGCTCGTGCCAGAGATTTCACGCAGTTGGCCCAAACACTCAAGACTGAAATCATCGACTCGTTGTCTGGATCGATCGATAAGGTTTGTGGTATTGATGATTCCCAACTAGTAAATATAGGAGAAGAAGAGCTTTAGTTCACGGTATGGATCCATTTTGATGCAAAACAAACACTAGTAGCGCTTTGTTAGCTGAGTAGATGAGTTCGCATCCTAAATCGGCAAATTTGTGGCCGCCTCATTTTATCATCAGCTGATGGTTGCAATTTCGCTAAGTATAAACGCAAGTTACTCACCGCAACAACTAGCTCTTTATGACTCCACAACAATTTTTGATTTTGCCGTTCTTTCCCTTTCCAATTATCATATTGCTTACAAGCCGACTTCATTCCAGGTGCTGAAAGAATGGGCAGCTAACGAGATGGCTCGTCTCCAGCAGGAAGCAGCTCGACCGGCTATGCCGCCAATGTTCAACACGCTATTCCCGGCACCAAATCCGCTGGCGGCACATTTTGGCCTCAATCCGCACAGTAAGTAGGACTATATAGCCGAAGCAGAGCCGTGAATAAACCATGTATCGTTAGTCTCTCAGAAATGTCTCAGCCCAAATTCGTTGCTCGGATGGTTTTGAACTCATGAACTGTGTAGTAAAGGCTACCAGTGTGGATTACTCCTAGTTTCGGATAGGCCATGCAACTTCGAAACGAATCTGCTGTTAACTACATACTCCGTAGGCGGCACGTTAAGATTGGTTCCTTTTATAGGCCTAGACGGTTTGGGAGTTGATTCCTGGTCCAGGCGTGGTGAGAATAGGCATTGGCCCCTATTGAGGAGTACCAAGGGCTCGAAAAAAGTCCCTAGATGACTAATTCCAACGTCAACAGTGCTTAGTTGTTGCTGTAACTTTAAAACGCTACAGTACGCCTTTGGCAGTATTCCAGACTACCACAGTGTTTTGCCAAAGTTTTAATTTTATAGTGAATACGTTTTCAGTGCCACCCACGGGCATCTTCCCATCTCCCCTGAATGCGTTCAACTCGTTGGCAGCTTTGAATCAAATGCGCAGACCATTTGAAGATGATGGTCCTAAGAAGAAAAGGAGTAAAGTAAGCAGGAAGAAGGACTTTGATAGTTCATAGTTCATTTGCTAGATGAAATCGACATTGTTTGTATATATGATGGAATGCTTAGGTGACTGACAGCGTACGAAAAATGAACGGTACACCAATGGCACGTGAAGGCTCTCCAAGCAGCACGAGAAGCAGCCCTGTTGTGAGTTCCTGAGGAGTGCCGCCTTGATGGATTATCGAGCTATTGAGCCTCTTTAGCTTTCACATTCGACTCCGCTCTCAAATTACTTCCCTCCGACTATGGTTGGGCATCCCTTGTACGGTGGTGCTTCATTCGGTGAACGTGAAGGCAGTCCGACGAATTCGGATGAGACAAGCGAGTGCGGTGTTTATGACAATGGCCAAAGGTGAGTTGGCCTGAACAACAAGGGGGCGTGGTTTGTGAGAACCACGCACCACTGTTGTGAAATCCTAGTTTACATTTTTTGGGCTTCACCCGAGAAACTGAAGTTCTCATTGGTCTCAGCTTAGGAACCTAATGATAAAAGCAGTTTGTTGTTTTCAGTTCAACACTGACGCCAGTTCATCTTCGAAAAGCCAAGCTGATGTTTTTCTACACTCGCTATCCGAATTCGACCCTTTTAAAGTCGTATTTCCCGGATGTTCGGTTCAATAAGAACAATACAGCGCAATTAGTAAAATGGTTCAGTAACTTTAGGTATGTTTATTGATTGTTTGTTTGTAGCTTAGTTCACTACGCTTTCGCCATAATACTCAGAGGTTCAAAAAAAGTTTTCAGAGGTCTAGGGCGTTAGCTAAACGTTGGGCGCAGTGAAGACTGCTCGAGGGAGGCTTTGTTTAGAGCCAACGAAGAGAAATGAGTACTTTCACGAGTTCCCAAGGAAACCAAACCTATACAAACTGGTTTTCAATGATCAGAAATGCTGGATACGAAAGGATAAAATGCTGGATGGTTCTTGACGCGACCCGATCCAAATACGGGAAAAGTAACATCACCTGTCCCCTCCCTCTACCGTTTTGAGATATCCCTCATGACATTGGGTAAGATTGCTGTTCACCCCACTGCTTCAAGGCTTCTGGCATTGGCTGGTCTCGGAGCGGACACGGGATTTTGTTGGTCAAATTTAAGCCGAACTGGCTTTTCTGCTGACTCTACACGTTCAGAGTACTTCTATCCACTGCCTTAGGATATAGTTGAGCTTCTAGTAAGAACATGGAATTCTCGTCGAGTTTCCGATCCATTGACTAAGTGGAATTAATTGTTGAATAATT